TTTTAATGATAGCAACGATAAGTTATGGAAGAGGAATCGAAATGAGAAAATTTTCGTGAAAAAATTTTTTTCTCGTTGTAAATTATTAAATTAAAAACAAAAATAGCAAGAAAAACTTGTCACCACTGTTATTTTATTTTACATTTGTCTTCAGTTTATCCTCTTTCAAAATGCTTTTTACCACGAATAATTTGAAAAAAAAGAATGTTATAAAAAGTAAAGCCCAGTAAACTGATAAAATTGATAAAATTTTAGTTAAAAAACTTTTTAGAATAAAAAACTTTTTTTTTTATTAAAATATAAATTTTTAGTTATTAAATATAGATTATTTAATCTAATTAGATATTTGCAAAATGAAATATAATTTAAAATAATGAGGCAAATGAATCAATAAAAGAATACAAAGATTTGTTGTTAATTTTACGGTTCTCAAAAAATTTAAAATGCTGCAAATCTCAAAGATGAATTATTCATTTAGGAAATCAGTTTGAATTGGATGATAATAAATGATTATTTTATGATTTTGGATTGATATTTGTCGCATATTCTGACCGATTTCATTTCTCTAATAAACTCAATTAAATTATCATATTGAATTGCTTAGATTTTTAAATTTAAGTGTTTTCTAAGCAATACATTTTAAAAAAATGAATTTAAGCAATCGGGTACTAACAGTTTTCTCCAAATTATCCAACATATATGTACGTAAATCTTATTCACTGCTCATTATTCATGATATGGCAGCTATTTACCCAATATTTCCTCTCCCAAGTTAGTTTTATATGATATAAATGTATGCATAAAATTTTTAATTTTTCTTACTTTTTTAAGTTTTATAATAATACTTTTTACCAATTTTATGAATTTTATGAAACCATTTCAATATTTCTCTTTAATAATTTCTCGTTAATATTTTTTGTTGGTCAATGTATTTTCTATCATTTTTACCATTTTTAATGCATTTTTTAATATTTTTTATATTTTGATAATTTTCTAATTTTTGATAATTTTGTTTGATAATTAAATTATTTGATAATTTTTTAAATATCGTTTTACCTCGTTATTTTGGCAGCTTATTTTTATTTATTTATTTTATTTTTATTT